GAACCCAGGTCCCTTCAGTCCCCAAGCCGACACTCTATCCATTGAGCCAAACCGGTTTCGGCCGGAGCCTTAGTTTTTAAAACTAATGGTGTGAACAGCTTGATAACCTTTGAACTTCACCCGACCTTGCCTCCGGAACCAACCCTCCTGCTGTTGGGATCTGCCAGCTATCTGTGCTCTTCGTAGCCTTTGAGCGGAAACCTCTCATATACCGTTTGTAGTGCCAGCCCTGAGACGGGACTTCTGGCCAGGGTCATATGCACCTTGTCTGAACAGGCCATAAATTCCAGGCACTGTTTTAGTCACTGTTTCAAATCAAACCAACACCCCCCCCCCAAAAAAAAAAAAATTTTTGTCTGTGTGTGAGTATGGATCATTTAGTGTATGCAAAACAATTTGCTAAGCTCTGAATACTTCAGGAGCGGCTAATTTATGACAGACTGAGCTCCTTCCACATAGGGCCAGGCGCGCGATGCTCAGGCACCTCTCTGAGCTCATCCCACCGGTATCTGCGAGGTGCCTGTTGAGAACAGGCCTGGTGACCAGGCACTTTGCAAAGATTTAGTCAGTTGTGAGTCTTTGGAGTTCTCATGGCTGGGAAGGAAAGGTGTCTTTCTCAGGTGGGCTATGTCTTGTGCATGTTCTTTAAAAAAAAATTTTTTTTTAATTACTGAAGCTACATGTGCTCATTATACCAAAACCAAACAATAGAGAAGGGAGTGTGTGAAAAGGGAGTGAGTGAAAAGGCAATAAAAGCCGAGCCTCGTGGTGCCTGTGGTAAGCCTGCCTCTCCCCTTGGGGGGCGTGGTAGCCTGGAAAGGCAGGCATCGTCCAGGCTTTCATGTTCCTGCTGGGAAATGGGGGCTGTTTATTCCACATGGACTTCCTGAGTTCCTTCTGTGTGCCGAGCGCTGTGCTGGTCCTGGGAGAGCAAAGCCTGCCTCAGCCACCTTGTAAAAGCTGTGGAACCGAAGGAACAGAAGCACTTAGAGAAATCTGCACGGCTGCCTGCGGCTGGCAGGGGCCCCGGGGAGCGTTCCTGCTCGGCCCGCTGGAGGCCTCCCGGAGCTGTTTCCGTGACCTCCCCAGCATTCACAAGTCCTCCTGCTCTCCTGGAGGGGAACCAGTGGCTTCCTGGCTTCTCCACGTGCAGCCTGATTCTGGGCCAGGGTTTGTTTGAGCCCCTGTTTGGATATTGTGAAAAGTGGCAGCTCTCTGCTCAGAAAGGTCAGCATGAGAGACAGTACAAAGAGATCTTTCAAGCCAGCCTCTCCCCCGGCTCTCCCTGAGGCAGGCAGCCTGAGGCTTTGGGGCAGGATTGCTCAGGCTGGTGGGACAAACCTCCCTCTGGTTTCTTGTTTCCTGGAGGGGTGAGCTGAAGGGTGCTCCCAGCACCTCGACAGGTCAGCGCCAGCTAGGAGCCCAAATCTCTCCCTGTTCGGTCCTTGGCCGCTGGGATCCATGTGTTGGGTTTTCTCGATATGCATTTAATAAAGTTTGGGCTTTCCCCAAAAGATGCCAGAGGGTGATTATTTCCTTAGCTAAAGAATTCCTGGGAATTTATTTTGATATCAAAAGCCCTTACAGATTTGAGAATGGTAAAAATACCCAATTTTTTTAACACAGGATCTTGTTAAAATGCAGTTCTAACTCCGTGCGTGCGTGTGTGTGTGTGTGTGTGTGTGTGTGTGTTAGGGGGAGCAGGGACTCTGAAACCAGCATTTCTCTCAAGCCCCCAGGTGATGCCCATGCCCCCCGATAGTCCTTGTGCTAGAGTGGAAAGAAGGGGCCACGGTCCCTCTTGGCTCTGGCCTCCTGGGCCAGGCTGCCAGGGAGGCGGCTGGCAGGCAGCCCACAGAGTGGAAAATCACCCACAGGTCCCAGGATCCAGCCCCACCTCAGCCAATGGCCATTTGGCCCAGCTGCCAGGACAGGATTCTCTGGCAGACTCGCCAGCCAGCCATTTCCTCTCTCTGGGAGCTCATGCAGTCTGTCTGTTTCCTCTCTCCTGGTGGTGGCCTGTGTCCAGCATGGGGGTCCTCCCTAAAGCCATGGTCTCAGTGGCATCAAAGGGCTACCCGTCGATTCGTCCTGTGGAACTCGTGGGGGCTCCCAGCCTGTCTGTCCCTGGTGTGACCAGGGAATCCTGTTCTTATGTCCCCTGATTGGTGGGGGGGTGGGAAAGGGGAGTGAGTAAGATGGACACAAAGCTAGAGGATCTCCTCAGGCACTTGCTTCCTCCCCATTACTATTAGCCCCCAGCGCCCATGCAAAATAATGTGGCAAGTTAAGTTATAAGTAATATGATCTTTAGGACCCACATTAGAAGAGGAAAGGAAAATAATATTTAGTGACCCTCTACCACTTGCCTGGGTATGCTTAGGGCTCCTCATGTGTTCATCTTCCTGGCAGCAAGTGAGGAATCTTTCCTCCTCGAGATGGGGAGACTGGGACTCAATGCCTTTCTTCCCAAGACTTAGGATCTGGCTGCAAAGCTGGGGTTTCCATGTCTGGTTGTGTCTCTGGAAGCTGGGGCTTCATAGCCTAGGAGAATGGGAGGACACTGGGGGGTCATCTAAACCAGTGGTTCTCAAATCTCAGTGTCCATCGGAACCCTCTGGAGATTTGACAAAACCCAAATTGCTGGGCTGGAGTGGGGGATCTCAGAATTTGTTTTTCTAAAAAGTTTTCTAGAATGCCGAAGCCGCTGGTTCAGGGACCACACTTTGAGAACCTATGGTCTACACTGTGGTTTCTCAAAGTATGGGATAAATAGCTCTAGCAGTATACAAGATGGTTTTAGGTGATATACCAACTTTTTAAAAGTACTTCTGTATTTAATATCTGTTAGCAAAAAAAAAAAAGTAACTAGCACACCAAATCCATGATTTCGGGTATTTTTTATTTAGGTAAGATTACTACTGAAATAAAAAGAAGGTATGAAGAAAAGCATTGCATGAATTATAACTCTGATGGTATACAGCTAGGAGCAAAAATTGTAAATGTAGCGTACAGATAACAGGAGTCTGGGAGCTGCTGACCCAAACTGAAGGGCTGGCTTTATAGAGGAGACCATGCACGGCCCACAGAGGTGAGCTTGCCTCCCCGGGCCTCTTGCCATCTGGAGTAGCGTCCATACTTGAACTGTTTCTAAGATTGCAATGGTTTCTAAGGACCCTGCCTGCCCTGCCCAGTTCTTCAGCAGCTCCCTGTTCAAGTTCAGTGGGAAGGCTAGGGAAGGTCACTGTGACTCTGACTCCATCCCACAGATCTTAGTCTCTATTCTCAGCCTTACAGACAGGGGCCTGTGTGTATAATGTTGGTAGTTTGCATGTTTGGAACTTGTTTGTGTGAAGCCAGAGGCCCCCGAAGGCAGGGACTTGATCTACAAATCTGTCCTTTTATGGCGCCAGGCCCCAAGACCCCCAGGAATCTGTTCCATGTAGGAAGGTTGCAGGAGGGACTCGTTTGGCTGCCCCCTTTGGTTTTTTCACCCTTTGTGATATCCCCCCTCCCCTACTTTCTGGCCCATCAGCCTGTGCTTCCGCTTGTGTGCTATGATCCAGCGAACCCGTAGCATAAATGAGAAGAGTACCCGAGTACGCGCAGATGTGGGTTGAACACATGCTTTGCCCAGGGGCTGTGCTGGGGCTGAGCTTCAGGAGCACAGCAGGAGTCCTCAGGGCACGGAGGTCAGCCTGTAAGCAGCAAATAACCAAAAAGTGTCACGCTTGCTTCAAAAGAGGAATTAACAACATTGCATGGCCAGGGACCTGGGAAGGGTGCAAGAAGGAAGTGATATTGGAAAGGGATTTAAAGGATAAATACGGGAAAGGCCGTTTAAGGCAGTGTGAGGAGTCGGTTCAGAGAGATGGTGCAGGGAACCGTGGTTGGTCATTCAGAAAGGACTTGAGTGGTGGAGATGAGATGCAAGAGGCCAAGGGCAGACTCATCAGCTGAAGACCTCTAAGCACTGAGGGCGCCAACAAAGGGGCCAGCCTGGGAGGAACATTGAGTAGACTCTTGGAGGGACAGCGGAAATAGTTTTTCAAACTGCAGGCCACACCCATTGGTGGGTTGCAAGATCTGTTTAGTGGACCATGGCCAACATTACTTAAAAAGGGGAATAAGGGAAACATAAGATAGAAATTTCAGAATGGATTGCACGTAGTAGAGGCAGATGGTGTCAAGAAACTTGCTTCAGTTGAATGTAAGGAAAGTGTATATATCCTGGTTGCCATGTCAAATGTATTTTTTTTTTTTACTGTGGGTCACACTTCTAAAAGCTTGGGAATTATTTCAAGGCACAGAGGGCTGACTGGAAGGAGTGAGGCTGGCCAAGGTAGTTAGTTATGTGGGCTCTGTAGAAGGGACTGACAGGTGAGGGTGGGTTCCAGTGTTGGCCAGATGCAGAGAGTAAAGATAGAGGATTTGAAACCAACTCAAGTCAGAAAGTTTGACGCCAGCTCAAAGCTCTTGGGCCAAAATAACATCTTGTTTAAAATACTTGATCTTGCCGAGACCGGTTTGGCTCAATGGATAGAGCATCGGCTTGGGGACTGAAAGGTCCCAGGTTCAATTCCGGTACAGGGCAAGTACCTTGGTTGCGGGCATATCCCCAGTAGGGGGTGTGCAAGAGGCAGCTGATCGATGACTCTCTCTCATCGATGTTTCTAACTCTCTATCTCTCTCCTTTCCTTTCTGTACAAAATCAATAAAATATATTTAAATAATAAATAAATATTGATCTTGGTCCCCTTCTGGTTGGCAAACTGCAAGCCTGAGTCCCAGGGGATCTGGAGAGAAGGATCCCTCTGTTCTTTGATGGGTGATGTCCTGACCACCTGGGGTGCTAGTGCTTACAACGCTGACCTTCCACTCCAATTATTGAGGGTTTTCAGATAGAACTCAGGCAGGCCCCTCGTGTCTGCGGGTTTGATGAGGATATCTCTGGGAAAACTAGGCTGGTTCTGACCCTGACTGTGCTGTCTTCCCACCAGGAACATCGTGAAAGGCATGAGAGAGCTCCGGGAGATCCTACGGACCATGGAGACCAAAGCAACTCAGAACTTCAAAGTGGTAACATGGAGGGGAGCCCGGGGCTGGGTGCTGGGTGCTGGCTGTGGCTGGTTTACTCGGGGGTCAAGTTCAATGGGAGATAGCAGACGTCCTGGTGGGCATCAGGGATGGCAGTGTGTCACATGCATACTTCTCTCCCATTGGTACTCATAGCACACGTCGTCAGTCAGTCACTGCACTTTCCCACTAAGCCAGGAAGCACCCACAGCAGCTTCTCATCATATTATAGATGGCCCCAAGCCTTGGGTCAGAGTTGAAGCCGGCCAACACCATACCCAAGCAAGGTGTTGGGCTAATTCTTAAGGATCTTTGATCTTAGTAAATAACCTGGACTCTGCTTTGCTGCCCCCAATGCAGGCCTGCCTTTTCATTCACCTGCCCGCATAGAGCCAGAGCAGCTTTTCGCTATAGAATGTTTGGTCAAATATCAGAAAGGCATTTGGTAGAGAGCTAGCCGACGGTGCCATGGCTTTGCAGTGTCGAATGTATTTTATTTGTACTAGGGGTCACACTTTTAAAAGCTTGAAAAATGTTTTAAGGCCCAGAGGGCTGACTGGACGGGCTAAGGCTGACAGGGTGATGATACAGGCCTGGAGAGAGGCGGGCCAGTCTGCAAGGGCCTGTGGGTGCTCAGAGCTGTGTCGGGCCTCCACGGGGTCAGAAGAAGGGGGAAATGCACCTCTTGTCTAGGAGGGAGAGAGGGAAAAAGATTAAGCAGGAGCCATCCAAGGCCAACAGAAAAGACGCTGGCTCGCCACCTGCCGTGTCTGAGGGGCTCCCGGGAGTGTAATGATGGGCCTCCTGGCGGGGCTGCGCTTGGCAAGGCTGGGAGGTGAGTGGAGGGCACGCTGGCCACATCCGGGGAGAGCGGCCTGTGCCTGTGCCTGACCCTGCCCTCTCTGCCAGGTGGCGGCCAAGCACCTGGCCGGGGTCCTGCTGCACTCCCTGAGCGAGGAGTGCTACTGGAGCCCCCTGTCCCAGCCTCTGCCCGAGTTCATGAATAAAGAGGAGAATTCCTTCATCATGCAAGCCCTGCGCAAGCCTCACCTCTACGAAGGAGACAAGTAAGCCCTGGCCCTGCTGGACCACACCAGCCTCACGCCCAGGCTTCGGCCCCGCTGGCTGCCCGCCCCTCTCTCTGCCCCATGCACTCCAGCCGCCACCCAGCTCACTGCCAGGCAGTGTCAGCAGGAGCCACGTGGCCTGGACAAGGCAGGTCTCGAGTGGGCGTTGGCAGGAGACTCCCATAGAGCATCCAAAGGCCACACAAGCTACTTGGGGAGCACCTCCCTTCCTAATAATCTTGCTTAATAGCCCAGCTCTCCCGTTTGTGCCAGTAATCGACGGTGGGGTCTGTGACCCCTCGCCCCAGCCTCCTCACACAGTGCTAGGCCCTGGAAGGGCCATTTCCCCTGGAGCATTTTCGGTATTCCCAGACTGGCGCCACCCACCCAGCATTTCAGATCCATAGCTCTGGGGCGAGAGCCAGCGCTGCAGGGGCTCCGGTGCCTGTGAATTATGCAGGAGAGGGTCACCTTACCGGGGCTGGTGCAGGCTCCGGGCAGAAGGCGGGCAGGTGATGGGCCAGCGGCACTGTGTGAGGGCCGTGCTGGAGCCACGCACCTTTCGTGTCTTTCAGCCTCTACTGCCCAAAGGACAACATCGAGGAAGCCCTCCTGTTGCTCCTCATCAGCGAGTCCATGGTAAGTCCTGGGGCTCAGGCTAAGGCCACCCGGTCCTGACCTCCCAGGGTCATCCCTGAAGCGGGATTCTTAGATCACAGGGGGGAGGTGCACAAGGGGTCAGGTGCATAAGGGGTCAGGTGCATAAGGCTGCACTTGGGGTCCTGGGTCCTGCCCCCAAATGAGTAGGGCCTGAGCTAACACATCCCCACCCACCTCTTCTGGATTACAAAGGATGGATACCTGCATCCAGCTGTCTGCATCCAGCAGCTCTGTGCTGGGCACGGGAGTGGGAGGAGCATGCAGAAGGCCTGGGTTCAAGTTCCAGCTCTGCCACTCATTAGCTGAGGCCCCTGGGCAAACCGCCTAACCTCTCTGAGCCTCAGTTTCCTCACCTGTAAAATAAAAGGAACTCCCGGAAGTTAGTTACAGCGTGCCTGTAAAAAGAATGTGCTTGTTCACAAAACTATCTCTCGGGTGTCATCTAGTTCATGCCAGGCCATGTGCTAGATGCCAGAGTGGCACCAGCAAACAAAACGGAGAAAAGTCCCGCCCTCGTGGAACTGACGTTCTAGTGAGGGATGGACAGTACATGGACTAACTACTAAAATATCCCGGGTACCAGTGTCTGTGTGTGCCTTGGGAAATTAAGGCAATGGGGGGCTATGGTGTGTGGACAGAGCACATGTGAGGTGCTTTTCAGATTTTTTTTATGAGCCCCACCCCTGCCCTAGGAAGGGAGACAGCACACACACATGCGAACATACACATTCACACGTGCGCCAGGGTTTGGAGATTCAGCAAAGGGGAGAGGTATAGTTGGGTGGTCCAGGAAGTGGTGAGATGATGCCCTGGTCCAAGGGAAGTGGGGGAGGGGTGGGCAGGAGCAGCAGGATCCAGGTGTGGAGGTTCCGTCAACATGGCATGGCATAGGGGAGCCCTCTGACTGAGGGGTCCCTCAGAGCCTGTGAGCTGGGGACCCCGGGTTGAGAACTAGATTTTTATTTTTTAAATGATGTATCTGAGAGCAGAGTGTGGAAGTAGAGTTTAAAAAAAACTAAGACCTTATAGGCTGGATCCCTGAGCAGCCAGATGTGGGTGCTTCTTTGGGGACCTGGGACCATGTGATGCCGGGGCTGATTCAGAGAACTTCGTTCAGTGGGTTACCTCCAGCTCAACAGGTCTTCCAGCAAATAGACAGAAGGAGGGATGCTGGAGAGGGGCAAGAGACTGTATTCTTCCTCAGCCAGCTCCGTTGGGATTGAGAGCTCTGTGAAGGGACATGGATATCTGAATCTGAGGCAAACTGGCCAGGGTGTGGTCCTGGAAGGTTTGCAGAGTGTGGTCCTGCGAGGGGGACATCTGGACCTCAGACATAGACCAGCCCCCCACCCCTCTATCCCCTACACACACCTCATTTAGTTATCTCAGCACCTGCTCCCTCAGGCGAATCGCACTGAAGTCACCTCTCTCAGGGAACATGGGTTGATATCGTCACCTTCCTGGGCTGAGGGTTACAGTGTGGTTCGCAGGTGGAAGGTCAAAGGCAAAAGTGAACTTTTCTTAGGTCCCTTTCTCTGCCAGGTTCCAAGGGGTAGGCATTATATTGAGCTACATGAAAACCAACCATTTCCCATGGCTCAGTGTAATACCGATATGGTCCCCATCTTACAGATGCGCTAAGTAAGGTCCAGAACAAGTATTTGTCTTGGTTAAGGTCACACTAATAATCCTTGCAACCGAGATTTGAATCACATCTGTTTCCCTAAGCAGCTTCTAAAGCACAGGCTGGGATCAAGGCTGGGCTTTGTCTCCCCAAGAATTTTCTTCTTGCTCTGGATGCCCAAGACCAGCATTCAGATGCCTTCCCCAGTGAAGCTCTTCCTCCCCAAACCCTCCAGTCTTTGGGACCTGCGGCTGCCCTGAAATAAGATGAAGAATGCCTTTTGCTAAAAGGTGGCCCACCTTTGGAGCCACGGTGAACTTTCCTGAAGGTGTGGTTTCCTTTCCCCCTGTTTGAGAGGCTGTTGGCTGGCTGGCTTGATGAGGAGACTCAGGGGGTCCGGGCCTGCAGACCGGGCAGTGTCCTGAGAATTCCCTGTAGCATGCAAAGCTGAGGAAGTGCTCGAACTCAGCACTGCAGCCGGGAGAAGGCACCTCCGGGCCTGGCTGGCTGGCTGGCTGGCTGGTTTCCTCTTGCTCACACCCAGCCTGTCACAGGTTTAGAAACCAGTCTTTTGGGGGGAGAGCTTTGGCAATGGACTTCGCTTTGTTGTCTCAGCTATGAGTGCTTTCCACCTGAAATCTGGAACCCATTGCTGTGGCTCAGAGCTGTTTCTCAGAGTGACCAGACCTCCTCTGGCTTCTCTCTTGTACGCGTTTCACACCCTCCCTCCCTGCAGGCAGCATCCTCCAGCAGAGTGGGTGTCACTGTGTCAGCCTCCTGAGTTCCTGCTGGGACCCCTCCATGGGACTGAGGTTCAGTCTGCCGGCCGTGTCCCTTGCAGGGCCGTGCCCCAGCATCTCCCTTTGATGCTGGCTGTGTTTGCCTGCCGATGACAGGGACAAGCTCTAGAATAGCAGCTGCCTGCTGGGGCTGCTACTTGGGTTCTTCTAATCCTGCAGGATTCATATACTGCAGCGAACGAACGCCCTTTCTGCGTAGCCAGCCCAGGAGGCGTCCTCCAGCACTCCGCCTCCAGGACTGCAGCTACTTGTCTCCCGAGCACCGCAGCCCCTGCTCTGTGGCTTGGAGTACAGAGGAGTAGCCTGCTTGGGGTGGGGTGAGGGGCTGGTGCCATGGATATGGTTGTTGTTATGGTCTGACCCAGTGTGATCAGAACGAATGGGTAAGCTTTTGTCTTCCGAGAAGTAAATAGAAGTCTTTTTTTTTTTTTAAATATATTTTATTGATTTTTTTTACAGAGAGGAAGGGAGAGGGATAGAGAGTTAGAAACATCGATGAGAGAGAAACATCGGTCACCTGCCTCCTGCACACTCCCTTCTGGGGATGTGTCTGCCACCAAGGTACATGCCCTTGACCAGAATCAAACCTGAGACCCTTCAGTCCACAGGCCGACACTCCCTGTACTGATCCAAACAGGTTTCAGTGTAAATAGAAGTCTTAAATGCTTCCACAGAATCGCAAGGGATGTGAGGCTAGAACTGGTTGAAGAGCTGTGTTTTGGATCCAGTTTTGAGTCTTTGGGGCCAAAAGAGCACTTTAAAATCCACCCACCCCACGCAGCCGTCTTCCCATCCAGCTGATCTTGTTTGAGCAGCGTGCGTGCGGTGCTCAGCTCCGAGATGCCGTGGCGAACTGCAGTCAGCGCCCCCGTCCCACCCGTACTCCCGCCGGTGGAGTGAGTGTCCATGGACGTGAGGGAAATCCTGGTCCCCAAATCAGAAGGATTTGCCCCATCTGCTGAACTCCAATTGCATAGCCCCCAGGTTTTGAAAGAATCATGTCTCAAAACCAGCCTGATTTTTCTTCAACAGTCGTGGGACTGGGAGGCACGGCAATCGTGGCTGTTTCTAACGTACTGATCTAGGGCATAAAAATATGTGGGACAGCAAAGCGGATCCTGGGTCCCTGTTCCTTCAGCTGCTGGGGAAGTCGCTGCGGGTGGCAGGCTCTTGGGAAGTGAAAGGGCAGAAAAGGCCTGGTGGTGAGTGATGGGGCGGGGGAGAGGGTGGTGTGTGTCCTTGACACACTCAACGTTTGCCAGACCCAGTGTCAGACATCCACGATCTGAATCCTGGCTTTGTCATTCACCACCTATGTGGCCTGCGTAGGTTTCTTACCTTCCCGGTCCCCTTAACACGGGGCTAAGAAAGCCTCTCTGGCAGGGCTTTGTTTGAGCTGATGAAGTAAGAAAATGAGCACAAAGGTGCCTGGTACACTGTGGGTGTTCACCACGTGTATGTTTTGTCCTGTAAATACTTGGTTCTGACTCAGTCGTTTTAGAAAACATTTAGATTCATATCCGGTTGGGAGGAAAAAAAATTGGTTTGAGGACGCCATTTGGTTAAATAAAAAAGCCGGTGGGGGGTAGGGGGTGCTTCCTGGGCTTGATTCCATGTGGGACTCAGACGAGCACAGATTGTTCCAGCTCTCGGCACCTGGTCTGTGCTCACATGAGGCCCCGCTCTGCTGCGAGCTGCCGCGGTGAAGGGTCTGATCACTGCCAGCTCAGAGCACTCAGGTCAGAAGAGGGAGAGCCTCGCCCTCGCTCGCTGCAGGGGGAGCGGTCATTGCTGCTGCAGGCTGATGCAGCAGGAGGGGGGCTGGTGTGGGCCTGGCCCCTGTCCCTCCGTAGATGGGACACATCACAGAGCCTGTTCTTTCTCGGCTCTGGACGCACAGCTCGAGAGCCGGTGGCAATTAGTGGGAACCGCAGCCCAAGTAGAACATGACAGCATCCTCCAAGGAGGCACAGGCGCAGGCGCTGGGCACAGAGGTTGCCAGGAGACTCATGTCCGGGGCAGTTGCTATGCCGTGTCGCAGACGACCCTGAGGCTGGGTGGGTCCTGGCCGATGGAGAGGCTGGGTCTGAGAACAGGGCTGAGCAGGACCCTGGCCACATTGCCCAAGGAGCTTGCTCTCTGCAGAGGAGCAGCATCCAGGCCTGATGGGGTTGTGCTTTGGTTCTTCCACAAGAAGAGACATGCCAGGCCTGCTGATGGCCAGGGTCAGCCTGCCGGACACTTTCTCAGAGGCATCTGGTAGCAGGGAAAGAGCCTGGGAGTGAAAGCAAAATGTCTAGGTTCTAATCTGCGTCCCAGCCACCTATCTGTGTGCCTTGGGTGCCTTCCTGGCCTCCCTGAGCCTCAGTCTTCACATCTGTAAAATAGGACAAAAGTATGTGAGGAGGTCATTGTGAGAATTACGAGATGCCTCTTACAAAGTGTCCATGGGTTGCTTCCCTTTCCTTCTCTGGCACTGTTGGTGTCCAGGGCTGCAGAGGAGAGGCAGCTGGACAGAGGTGAAGGCTATAACTGTTTGAGGCCCTGCGTGCAGCTCACAGAGAGTGAGACGGGGCTGGCAGAGGAGCACAGGACTGGCCACCAGCGGCTCGGCCTTAACTCTCGGGACCTTCTGGGGCTCGGTTTTCCTGCCTGCGAAGGGGCCATACTGGCTTCATCCTGCCTCTCCTGGGCTCACTGTGAGGCCAGAGGGTGACGGACATGAAAATTCAGCTCCCTAGGGTAGTGCATGGCACACACATAAGGGAGGGTTGTTTGAACAGGAGTCACCTGCTATAGGGTTTCCCCAGGGCTGGCCCATGTGGGAAATAGACATCCCCTCGTGGACCTTCCCCCAAGACCTGTATTTGCTTCATAGGTGTTTGTCCAGAGGCCCCATGCGGGCACGTTGGCTGTGAGGAGCTGTCGGGTGACAGGAGGTGGGGAGGAGCACCTCTTGTGGCTTTGTCTCTTCTGATCTGCTAGAAGGGCGGGGATGAATGTCCTTGTGTCTGGGGGAGGCCGCCCAAGACTAGGAGTAGGGACAGCCCTGTGAACCCTGCCCGGGATTACATGCGTGGGTTCAACAAGAGCTGGGACTCCCCAGAGGCGGGAGACCTGGGAGTGGGACTGGGGGTGATGCTGGGAGACACCAGGGAGAATATTCTGCCGTTATTCCATTACCAGGAAGGACTGTGATGGTGAGAAGGAAATTGAGGGTCCATACACTGCTTTAAGGCTCACAGGCGCTTCCACATCTGTCGCTGCATTTGACCTGGAGGATTTCCCAGCGAGGCCACGTAAATGGTGGAATGAAGAGAGGGACCGGGCTAGATTGGGGCGGGCTGCTGATGGCGCTGGGAGCACGTGTGGTTTCAGGGTGTGAGCCCAGGGGAGGGGGGAGGAGGGAGCCGTGCCTCCGGTGTGCTGGACCGGGACGTGAAACCCCCAGTGTGTGCCTTGTCCTCTGACGCTTGCTCTGGCCGCTTAGCTGCACGTGAATTTCTACCTGTTGCTCCCCGCCTGGGCTTCTGCTTCCTTCTTTCTGCCCCATTTCCCCCACCCACCCTGTTGCCATGGTTACGTACATAGGCCGGGCCCAGCATTGCACTGGAGCATTTCACCGCAGCCCTGCCCTGAAGCCATAGCAACCGCTGGGCAAACTTCTGCTTTTGGCTTGCCTTTGGGGAACCACGCTTCCCTCTGGGCACAGGCTGCAAGTCCTGGGGACCCCTGAGAAAGTGCCTTCCCTGCTGTCTGCCTGTTGGGGAGCCCCCTCCCCCCCCCCCCCCCCGCCCCATCCCTCAGCCCAGGGATGCTGCTGCCACCCTCTCTCCCTTTCCTGTTCTCATGACCTAACTCCCTCCCCTGCTAGAAATCCAGCCCCTCCCGCCGGCTCACCTTAGGAGACACTGTCCTCCTAAAGGTCAAGGTCGAGGCGGACAGGAGGAAGTTCCCACACCCCGCCCAGAAATCTCTCAAATGTCACTCCTACGCGTGCTTTGTGTGAACCTGTACTGGGGCTGGGAGTCCAGAGACACATCCCAGCCCCAGGAACGGGTGAACCAGCTGGACGGGTGTGAATGCCCAGTGCTAAGGTAGCACCTGGCGAGATGCCTGCAGATACCAGCTCTGAGTTGCGAGGAGCTTGCAGGCACCCAGGTTGACAGAGGGAACAATGATGGGCCATGTGAGGATAGGGAGCTGGCGTGGGGGGGGTGGCCTGTGGGGGCCCAGGGAGGACTGGAGAGCTGGGGTCTGGGTGGGGCCACAGGCAGGGCCTGTGATGGCAGCCACAGCAAGGAGGCTGGACTTTATCCTGGGGCTGTCGGCAGGGGTGGGAGCTGGGTTCTGGGAGGGGCTACTCTTCAAGGACAGACCAACCAGAGCGGAGACTTTCGTTGAGAGCATGGGCGGGGTCCCCAGATCTTAGAGTGTCTATTCAGGCTTCTTCCCGGCCCCTCCTATCTCCCCCTCCCCGCTGCCCCACGGAATAGCCTCCCTGCAGGCTGCCTGCCCTGCTCCCTCCGCCAGGACCTCTGTCTCCCACCAGAGTCCTCACTCAGATTCCGCTCGGTACGTGCCCATCACTGTGCTGAGGGTGGGGACTGTGTCTCCCACCCTCTCATTTCCGAACACCCCCACCCCACCTCGGCCTGGTGGGAGCTGCCCCCCCCCCCCCCCCCCCCCCCCCCCCCCGGGCAGCCTGAGCTGCGGAGTCGCTGGAGGTGAAGATTGGAGGTGGGGGAGCAGGGAGGAGCATGGCCAGGCACAGAGCAAGTTCTGGAGTTTGTGTTCCTGCTCAGCTCAGTGAAATAGCTCCTGCCAAGCATCTCCTTAAAATTTCATCTCTCTTCCTGCTGGTGCCTGTGTGGGTGGATTTCACCAGGAAGGAGGGGGTTTCTCTGGCACTCTGCCTCTCCGCGCCTCTCCCCGAACCCTCTTGAGTGCCCGGCCCGTTCTTGTTTACCAAGCTGGCACAGTGTCAGCCTTTCTGGGCACCTCCTGGCCTCCCATGCCCTCTCCTAGGACTGGCCCATGTCCAGGGAGTGGTGGGCAGCCTTCATGCATTGTGGACCCCTGGTCTAACTCCTCAAAAATGTAAGCATCCAAAATGAGGAAGGCTGAGGGGCTTGTCTGGGTGAAAGGACTAGAGACCTGGCACCGAGTGCAGGGCAGGCCCTGGATTGGATCCGGGGGTGAGAAAAGTAAACGGCTAGGAAGGTTATCGGTGGGATGGACGGCAGAATTGGGATATGAACTGTTATTAGATGATAGTAACATCAGTGCTGCGTACCCTGAATGTGGCATTTCTGTCGTGGTTATAAAAAGAATGTCTTCAGCATGTTCCCAAGGGCTGCGGCTGGTTGTAGCCACAGACTCTCCAGCTGCATGCCAGAGCGACCTGGGGAGGCTTTGACAGCTCAGTGAGCATAACACCTGCAGCTGCCACTCGCCTTCCTGTACCTGTGGGCCTGGGCCTGAGTCCCTGCAGGTGGATGTACTGAATCAACTTTTTGGTTTAGAGCTTTTTCACACTTTTTTTTTTCTTGAATAAAAATAAAATAATTTTTTTTTTTAAAAGAATGTCTTGAGTTTTAGGGGTAAAGGATCATATTCTCATAACGTACTATCTTTATTGTTATTATTGAGTATAGAGAAACTGCAAGTGTGGTGAATGTTAACAGCTGGGTTCAGTGTTAGGGTGTTATTTTTGCAACTTTCCTGCTGGTTTGAGATTTTTCTTTTCTTAATTTCAGAGAGGAAGGGAGAGGGAGGGAGGAAAGGAGGGAAACATCAATGATGAGAGAGAATCATTGATCAGCTGCTTCCTGCACACCTGCCCCTGGGGTCGAGCACACAACCTGGACATGTGCCCTGCCTGGGAATTGGCCTGGTTCATAGGGTGACACTCAACCACTGAGCCACACCACCAGTGGTTTGAGATTTTTCAGAATAAAACATTGACTGCTGGAGCTTGAGCCTTCAGGACGGCTCCCTCACCCCAACCTGTGCTGGGAGTGTAGTTTTCTCTCTTTGGGACTGAGGAAGGATCTGGCTGTTTCTGGGAGCATGGCCACTTGCCTGGCCTGGGACCCTGGGCCTGGGGGACAGGGGCTCTGTTGGGACAGGCATCTGCACGTTTCCTGTTCTCACTGTTTCCCAAAACCATGTCTTCCGACAGGCTACTCGGGACGTGGTGCTGAGCCGGGCGCCGGAGCAGGAGGAGGACCGGACGGTGAGCCTGAGGAATGCGGCGGCCATCTACGACCTCCTGAGCATCACGCTGGGCAGGAGGGGGCAGTACGTCATGCTGTCGGAGGTACGGCCGGCTCCTCCCTCCCCGGGGTGGGGTGGTGCACGGGGAAAACGCAATGGAGCCACCGGTGGTCCTCCTCCGCAGTCCCCCCTGCCTCCACCAGGGGTGCAGCTTCGTGCTTGGGAGGCCAGGCCTGGGACTGTGCCTTTCCAGGGCCCTTCCCCAGCAGGGGGTTTTGCTTTTACTGATGTACGTGTTTTGCTTTTGAAAGTGGCACATGGCACTGAATAGAGAAGAACAGAGGAAAGTTATGCGCCCCTCAGTTTCCCCCAGAGATGATTCTGGTGTTTTTGTTTGTTTGTTTGTTTGTTTAATCCTTACTGCAGATATATTTTATTGATTTTAGAGAGAGGTGAAAGGAGAGAGAGAGAGAGAGAGAGAGAGAGAGAGAGAGAGAAAGAGAGAGAGAGAGAGATTAACATCAATTGGTTGCCTCCCATACACACCCTGACCAGAGCCTTTCGGCGTACAGGATGGGCTCCATCCACCTGAGCCACGCTGGCCGGGGTGACAGTTGTGACTTTCTCTCCTGACAGGGTTCTGAGCTGGGTAAATGGAACCCTCCCCCACTCTGTGGGACAAACCCTGCTGGGGCAATGCTCTGGGCTATGCCCAGGGGGTGGTACCTCTTTGGGGTAGGGGGGTCTAGAGGTACTGAGCTGCCCCTCTTTCCTGCCCCTGCCCATCATGCACGTGGCACACGCAGTTTTGAGCTCTTCAATCCAGGCTGAGATCGAGGTGGCTGTGGGGCCCTGTCCCCGTGGGCCTCTTGGCAGTAGGAGGGACTGACACCTGCCAGGCACCCAGCCAGGCGCTTTCTGGGATGGTCCCCTCTTACCGTGGGAAGGAAGTGGCGGGTGTTCTCCCAAGTTTATCATGAGGTCGGCAAGACCCAGAGAGGTGGGGGTTGGCCAAGAAGGTGCAGGGTGTGCGTGTGGAGCCAGATGCGAACCAGGCCCCTGAGCCCACAAGGTGCGTGCTGCCTGGTCCTGTGCCCCTCACCTGACCCCCCACCACCTGATCATGGCCATGTGATGAGTCATATATGGGCGGCTTCTGCCTTTGGTCCTTGGAACCACATCGATTGGGGACCATCAGGTCTGAGCAGCAGGCAGCCCCTGGTCTGGGCTGCCCAGGACTGGCCAGGCCGGGGAGCAGTCGATTTTGTCGGCGGGAGGAAGAGGAGCCTCTCCATTTTGACGGCATCCTGTCCCCTGGCTTGGCAGCCAGCCTGCTCTGCCCCTTATGCCTCTGGCCAGTCATTCGAACCTCAGCTTCCTCACCTGAGAACTGGGGGTGATCCGACAACCCACCTCCCAGGGCTGTTGGGAGGAGTAGCTGAGCTGTAAAAAGCTGAGAACAGTGTTAAGAACTGTCAGCTGGGATTATTTTATCAGATGTCTAACATTTCAAAAGCACTTTCGCAAATCTCGCTTCATTTGCTTTTCACCAACACCCTGTGAGACCCCTCACCTGCCGTGGGGTGGGCACCGAGGGCCCGGGTTTCACAGGGGCGAGAAACCCCTGGGGTTTCCCAACCGGAGCCAAGCAGGGGCTTGGGTGGTGATGACCCTGGAGGGCGGGATGGGTTCGGTGTGTCCTGGCAGAGAAGTGCTGACCCGCTCCCTCTCCCCAGTGCCTGGAGCGAGCCATGAAGTTTGCATGTGGAGAATTCCACCTTTGGTACCAAGTGGCCCTCTCCATGGTGGCGTGTGGGAAGGTAAGGCCGCGGCCTGGGGCTGTGCATCACCCTCAGGGAGCCCTGCTCTCCTCGGGTCCCTCCCGGGGGTGGGGATGGCACTCGGGACCCAGAAATGTTTGTCAGGCAGCAGATTTTCATCTCCAGGAGTGGGGAGGGCATGGGAGGGCCACACACTGACCCCGTGTGAAGCCCGTGTGCACGGTGAGTCTATGGCTGCTCTTCTCAGAGGGTGTGTGCGCGCAGAGAGTATAGTGGCATTTCCACGGTGAATGGAGGGGAAGACTGCCTGAGACAGGGGGGCGGAGTGGGTCCCACCAAGGGGAACCATGCTCCCTTTGGGCTGTGGCTGACTTCCCGGTCCCGGGCGTGGAGTGTGGGAAGCACCTGCTCGTGAACCTGGAGCTGACCACATCCCGGGAGGACAGGCTGCATGTGCTCTCTGCCCTCCGGGCCCTGCTCCAGCACCCCCGTTTTCCCTCCGATGAGAACCACACTTACATAAGCCCCTATTTTAAGTAGTGACATGATAGCAAAAGCTTCCCGGGGCTGGGCCCGGGGCTGTGGGGACTGAGGGTGCTTCGAAGGCAGGAGACAAGGTGGCAGATCCATGAGCTGGCATATCATTCCAAGAGCTGTAAGCACCCAGGGCCCTTTTGTGGGGCTGAGGGAATTCCTTGCCCCCTCTGTGCCACCTGCCATTCCTAGCCCTGCACCGTCCGAGGTTGCCAGCGCCTCAGTCACAAATGGAGGGTGTACAGGCTGGGTCCTGGCAGGGAGAGGGAGGGAGAGCAGGTGCTGTCGCCTAGCAGGGGGGAAGTCCAGCCAAGAATCAAGTGGGAGCCTTCTCTGCCCCTGCCCTGCCAGGCATTTGTCTTCCCAAGCCTCTCCCCCGCACCCCATCCCCATCACATTGGCCACCCCACAGAGCACCCTGAACGTGACATGGTGTACCCCAGCTCTGTGCCCAGCAGGGTCTTGTTAGGGCTCAGGGAGAGTCCAGAACAGAGATGAGGAGGGAGGAGTGGGGGCTGGGGCTCCCACGGAGCCTGGGCAGACAGTGCACGGGGCATGGGACAGCTTCCAGCCTCCAGGGAACCGAGAAAATGCCTCGATCTCTGTAAGAGTGAGCGTGGACCAGGAGAGCCAGGGCCACACGAGTTCTCGCCTTCTGTGACTCATGGACCCCTTTGAGATGCTAAAGAAAGCACCTCCTCAGGAGAAAGCACCGCCCACAAAGTTAGCTTTAATTTCTGTTTGCTCCCGGAGGCCCCCAGACCCAGAAGGTGCCGTGTTAGCCTGGACAGTGTGGGGCCTTCCGCCTTCTCACTGAGAAGGCCGGGCTCAGAGGGGCTCTGGTGCAGCCTGGCTCACTCCAGGCTCCCAGAGCCGGTACCCAGCCTGGCTCCTTCACGGGAGCAAGGCGCACTCGAGAATGGGCTTACGGATGGGCGCGAGGTGATTGGTGAGTTTCTCACACGAGGCCCCTCCAGCGGGGTTACACCTCTCTGTGGGGCAGGAGATTGGTCTAGAAGTACACCCTCCACCTCCTCAGGAGCCCTGCCCACAGGTCGGTGGGCCTGGGTGGCCAGACCTCACCTTTTCTAAGACCCTAAGGTGGAAACCAAGGTTCTGTACCTGTGATTGTGCCCAGAAGGTCTCCCAGGAGGTGAGGCGGGCAGATAGGAAGGCACCTGGCCCTGCAGCCTGCAAGAGGAAAGTGAGCTCCATGGCATGATGTAGGTTGCTCTATCTTTTGGTCTCCTCGGCAGTCACATTGGCTGCGTTGCTAGGTAACCAGTGTGACAAAAAAAAAAGTGCCGGCTGCTCTGACTGCAGAGTCCTCAGATGGCTCCTTAAATAGCAGCGTTTTGTGGTCTGTGTGGGGGAGAATGTGAACGTGGAGGCCAGGGTTAGAGAACCCTGTATTTCAAGGATGCACAGGTCAGCAGCCAGGGAAGGAAGCCAAGGAAAGTCCTGGAAGCTTGCTGGGCCGTGTGGGTGGTGGTGCGGGCGCTGGGAACAGCTCACTGGGGAGGGTCTCAGGAGAGGTGGAGGGCCTGGCAGCTCTGACAAGCCCTTCGAGGCCTCTCTTGCTCTTGCCCATGAGGGCACCCTGTGCATCCTCAGCCTGCCAAAGGCTGCCATCTGCCTGCACCCTCTTGTGGGTGGTCCCCTTGTTTCCCGAGAGAGCAGCGGGGGACAGTGGTGGTGCTCTTCTCTCGCCAGCCTTCCTGATAGCCAAGAGCCATGGCCTCTTCCCTTTCCCACAGTACTGGGCAGAACAGGCCGTTGGCTTAATAAGCCTGAGCCCGGGCAGTCACATCTGGGCTGAGAAAAGCTGAGACCATCTATAAAGGGTCAGCGAATAGACAGTTTAGACTTTGCAGGCCAAACAGTTTCTGTGGAAACTACTCAATTCTTCTGCCTTTGCATCGCAAAAGCAGCCACAGACAATACATACATGAATGGACGTGGCTGAGTTCTAATAAAACTTTATTTACAAAAGCAGGCAGAGGGCCAGACTTGGCCCTCGTACGAACAGCAATGCTTGGTCCATAGTGAGATTGCTGGTGTTCTCGTCACTGTGATTAGTTACGTCCCTGCCTCGCCTGGGATGCTCCCTGCTTGGGCCTCCGCCCACCCGTGGCCATCCTCAGCGGTCTAGTCTCACTGGGTCCCTAAGAGCCTTGGGGCATCCCCATATTCCCGTCTGGAGGTTCTCCCTGACTCTGCCACCTTGGCTTCGCTCCCTCCTAGTCTGCCAGCATTTATACTTCCACCCAACTCCCTGTCACCGGCCCTGCCTCCAAGCCCTATGTGGTTTTGGCCTGATCTCATCACTGCTAACCCAGGAGTGTTGAACTCAGAAGTTTGAGACAGCCCCTTTCTACCTCTTAAATTTGTATGGTTGACATCTGCATTCTTTTTAGAGAGCTTCCATCTGTTGCCACCTTAGCTGTCGTCATATCACGTCTGGGTAAGGATCACAGCTTCCGTTCTCCAGATGTGGAGACTGAGGCCTAGGAGGGACTTGCCTGCCCACACTGCCTGGGCTCCTCCTGGGCCCACCTCCTGGCTTTGAGAGGAAAGGGATGCAGAGACAGGGCTGGCAGTTTGGGAACTCCCCGCATTGGGCACAAGGTGCCCAGCCCGAGGCCACCCAGGGCTGCGCGTGATGGCGACGCCTGCTCTTTTCCGCAGTCAGCCTACGCCGTGTCGCTGCTACGGGAGTGTGTGAAGCTGCGGCCCTCGGACCCCACCGTGCCCCTGATGGCTGCCAAGGTCTGCATCGGGACGCTGCACTGGGTAAGTGAGCTGTGGGGCAGGGTGGGCAGGCCCAGGTCCCGGCGGCCTCCTGCAGGAGGACGAGACGGGGACATGCCCATCTTGCTGTGTAAATGACATTGATATAAAATGAAAAAATATGGAGGGAGCTGAGGGGCCAGGGAGGCTTCCGGCAGGAGGAGGTCTGGGACTAGGCTGGGAGGTCTGGGAGGCAGGCCCTTCCGTCACAGCTTGCATGCCCTCGCCCCACGATTAGCAGGGAAACCAAGTCTTTTCAGGAAGACAGACTGCTGGCATCTTGCACCCTAGAGGCAGAGCAGCCTTGGGATGTGGGTGCTGGCAGAAAGGAGACACCCCGGCTGAGCAGTGCCGCAGAGGGTGGCGGTATGAATTGGAGGACAAAGAGGGTGGGCTCGCCAACCCCTAGTTCCCAGCCCTGTGCATTCCCCGGCTCCTGAGAGGGGCCTCCGCTCCATCACTCGGATGAAGCCCAAAATATCCGCCTCGCCGAGGTGGGGCGGGGGAGGGCATCTGTGCTCCCGAAGGCTGCCGGCTCTGAGGTGGCTGTGGGTCCACCCAGCCGACAGCCGCCCTTGCCAGGAAGTCCTAAATTTAGGTCTTCCCGCCGTGGAGGAGCTGTTTCCCTCAGCAGCATAATTACAGTAATTATGTGCATTCAGATTACATGGTAATAAAATTAGGATCAAATCAGTCCAAATTGAAATCAGATGAGTTAGGAGCAAAGGCATCAATGACAACATAAATAGAAAAGCCCAAAAGGAAACTTAAGCATGCAGACTTGTCACCAGAACTGGGGAGGAGGGGAAGTTGTTTAACCTCAGCTGAGAGCATATTTGGGTGAAGGGGCTGGTTTGAGCCTGGGTATAAATCGGGTACAGGCTAGAGCCGGTTCTGTTGGAGGGCTGCGGGGTGTGGGGGGAGGGGGTCTCCTGGTGGCCTTTCCTGATCGAAACCTCGCCTCTGTGGCTCCCCAAAGCCTCGCTTATACCTGCCTTGGATATGTAGCACATCGATTGTAGTCATTAGTGTTTCTTTCTTTTTTTTTTTTTTTTTCAATATACTTTTATTGACTTCAGAGAGGAAGGGAGAGGGAGAGAGAAGTAGAAACATCCATGATGAGAGAGAATCATTGATCGGCTGCTTCCTGCCTGCCCCCTTTTACTAGGGGATTGAGCCTGCAACAAGGGCATGTGCCCTCCACCAGAACCAAACCTGGTACCCTTCAGTCCGCAGGCCAACAACTCTATCCACTGATCCAAACCGGCTAGGGCTCATCTGTGTCTCTCCTCCTTCTGGAAACCCCAGCCCAGAGTTGGTTCCTGGTGCTTATTGGAGGAATCCTACTTGCTGATGAGCACAAACACGTGGCACCTAATTCTGCCTTCCATGGTCCTTCTCTTCCCGATCAGACAGGGAGCTTCTTCGCCTTCCATGACTCGCGCCCTGAGTCCCCTTCCCCGCACAGAGCCATGCACATGCTAGGTGTTCACTTCTATCTTACGGAACGACGCCTGCCCCAGCTCGCCGGGAGGGACGGGTATGGGAGGTCTGCATCTGGTACAGTGGTGCTGCCTGGTTCCTGGGGTTGTGCTGGGCGAGAATAGAAACAGGCTGTTGGTGGCCAAGAGCAGCCTGTTCTCAAGGAGGCCAGGAGAGGGGCGGCAGCACTCTCTGTTACCACGGCTGTGAGCAAGAATGGACCTGACTGGGCACCCAGGGGGGTGCTAGTCCTTGGGACACGGCATGAATCCTGAAAGGTTTCTGTCATCACCTTGTCCGCTCTCTTTGTAGCCATTCTGGCTCACATCAGCCCCCAGCAGGCCCAGCCGTGGCCCCGCCAAGCCCTGTTAGCAGGGGACAAAAACCTCCGGGTGGACAGTTTGGCCCAGGTTGCAGGAAGGGAGGCTGAAACTGGGGCATTTGAGAAACGAGTTGTGCTGGATGAAACCGGACTGGGTGGCCATGTGCCCAGAGGCGGAGCACCTGCTGTCCCCATGTCCTGTCCTTATATCTGGAGCCAGTGTGGGATGGCCCAGGCTGGGGCTGGGTCTCAGGGCGGGTAGGGAGGGCACCAGGCAGAGAGATGGTCACGTGCTGGTTGAAGTGGGGTTTGGAGGGGAGAGGGTGGAAGCAGCTGGGACAGCTATGGGATCAGTTGGGAGGCTTAGCCCGGAGCCCCCTTAGGTGACCGCTGTGTGTGGCAACCTCCTGCTCTGACACGACCAGCATCTCGCCAGGGTTCCCACTCAGTGATCTGGGACAGGAGAAAAGGGAGGAGTAAATATTTCCTAATATCCCTTCCAACACAATTATTTGAAAGTCACGCAATTTAGAAAGCTGGCTCTTCTAGGAGGACAGGAGATGGGGGTATGTATGTGTGCTGTGTGTCACCCGCAGAAAGAGAAGGAGAGGATGCTGTGAAACAGAAAAGCAGGCCACGCTCCTTTTTGCAAGGGTCTGGGGTACTGACTCGGGGCCACTCCCCCTGAGGGGACTGTGGGGCGGGAGAAAGAGTGCAGGCTCTGGAGGCAGAGAGGATAGGGCTCAAATTCCTGCCTCCCCACTGGGAGCTGCGACTCCGGGGGAGGAATGTGCCCTCGTGGTGCCTCCTCTCTAACCTGGAAGCCCCCCCGAGCTGAGCAGTGTCTCCGCTCAGCACATTGCAGGTACCTGGTCAATGGCAGCCATCGCAGTGCCAGCCTCTTCGACATAGAGGCTCTCAGAAGGGATGTGCTTTTGTGGTTGTGCCTCCACTTTTCAGATCCAGGGGTGGGCAGAGCCGGGAAGATGGATTCAGTGTGGATGAGGCAGCTCTCCTGCCATTCGCTTGTGGGAATTAGGAGGAGTGTCTGCTCCTCCCGGGAAGATGCAAGTGCATTCTCGGCCTTTTCGGTAGAGCAGATAACAACAGCTCCTGGGCCTGTGGGACGGGCCTCGGGAGAAACCCCGGTGCTGTTTCAACAAGCGCTGCAGGCTCAGAAGTGACCTCTCTCCCGTTCCCAGGAAGGGAGGAGGCGGTGAAGGTTCCAGGCGACAACCTCTTAGGCAGCCCTGGAGGCGGAAAGCAGCCTGAGCGAGAGCAAGGTGTGTCAGAGCTGATGCCGGTCTTGTGTGGCGACCAAATTAGGACAGCTGGAGAGATGCAGGAACTTGTCCAGTCACTTTTCTTACTTCTGGAAGGCAAAGAGCCAAGGATCAGCCCATATCCTTGAGTGCATCCTTTCCCCAAGGGTCGGAGAGGAGAAAAAGGAAGAGCCACAGAGGGCAGCAGTGGATCAGGCAGCTCAGGGAGAGCCAGATGTAGGTCAGGAGACCTGGGTTGGAAACTCACTTCTGCCACTTAATCATCCTGGGAGGTCCCCTAAGCTCCCTGTGCCTCAGAACCTTCACCTGTGAAGCACCAGCCCATCAGGTGGCTGCAGGACCGGGAAGGGGTCAGGTGAGCTCTAATTCACTCTAGAATTGTGGAGGGCCAGAGCCAGGGCCAGGGTGAGGGCTAGGGCAAGAATCACACCTGGGGTTTGTGCAGTGACATGGCTGCTATAGGTAAAGGATGCATTAAAAGCAGTGTATCGTTGGGAAGGGAACAGTTGAAAAGAACTTTGAAAACCCCTCACACTAGAAGTATGTTGATGAGCAAGGAGGGCCCAGTGCTATAACCTAAGTGAATTGTCCAGAAGCAGGAGACACCACTACAGAGCTACCCGCTGTTGCTTTTAAGGCCACAGGAGGAAGCACTGGGAGATTGGAAAGGACCCATGAGGTCCTGGGTGGGGAGAAAATGGCTAGATGGGCAGAGGCTGGGAAACTCAATCAACTGTTTTCACAACCCAGGTTGACACCCATTAGTGGGTTGTGAAGTAGAACTCTTTAAAAAGTAGTTGAGCCGAAACTGGTTTGGCTCAGTGGATAGAGCATCTGTCTACGGACTCAGGGGTCCCAGGTTCGATTCCGGTCAGGGGCTTGTACCTTGATTGCAGGCACATCCCCAGTGGGGGGGGTGCAAGAGGCAACTGATCAGTGATTCTCTCTCATCGATGTTTCTAACTCTCTATCCCTCTCTCTTCCTCTCTGTAAAAAATCAATTATATATATATATATATATATATATATATATATATATTTTTTTTTTTTTTTTTTTTTTTTATTTTTTTTAAGTAGTTGAAATAGACTGTTAGAGAATAGGATAGAAACTATCCAAGTGTATTAATCACAGTTGGGGCGAGTGTTGTGACAAAGAGTAGATTAATGGTTACATGACTGTGCATTGTGGACCGTGGCCGGGGTCAGTGGCCTCCCAGGGCTGTGGAGACCCAGCTTGTCCTGGGTAGAGTCACTCCTTTTCTGTGCCTGAGGGTCAGGCCGGAGACAGAGGGCGGGCCGTCGTGTCCCCTCTCTGGATTCAGGAGGGTCTTTGATGCCACTTCCTAACTGGCCACTGAGGTCACGTAGCTACAGGGGAGGATCTGCTCAGATGGCACTGGCTACATCTATCAGGCTGAGATTTAAAACATCTCTGGAAGGTTGAACTAATTGTAAATATAAAATTACAAGTAATGCCAAAACCAGTTTGGCTCAGTGGTAGAGCGTCGGTCTGCGGACTGAAAGGTCCCAGGTTCAATTCCAGTCAAGCGCATGTACATTGGTTGCGGGCACATCCCTGGTGGGGGTTGTGCAAGAAGCAACTGGTCGATGTTTCTCTCTCATCGATGTTTCTGGCTCTCTATCTCTCTCCCTTCCTCCTCTCTGTAAAATATCAATAAAATATATTTTAAAAATAAAAATAAAAATAATAAAATAATAAAATTACAACTAATGATGGTAGTTTACATTTATTCAAGCACTGCTCTGCGCGTCCCCCATGACTTCATCTCATCCAGTCCTCTCAGAAACTCGATGCAGCAGACAGGAACTGAGGCACAGCAGGGTGAAGTGATGTGCCCAAGGTCGCAGTTAGTTAGTAGCCAAGCTGGGGTTTGAGCCCAGCAAGTGTGGCCCCAGAGTTTGTGTACGTAGCTACTAGGCTGCTTTCTGCGTGGAGAGCTCTTCATGGGTCTGAAGCTGACTTGAATCTTAGGTTGGATTATAATACTTTGAGGACAAAGATGGACAGGCCACATTTCAAGGGATTTAGAAATTCCACTCTTGTCTTAGAATTGGGCAATATATATAGTATATTTCTTTAAATATATATTGGTTTTTAATACATTTTTATATTTAAAATACATATATATTTGGGGGCTTGCTTATCATATTGTATACTGTCATATTCAATAGACTGATAACATTTCTTTTCCTTCATAATCACTGCATTGGCTCGGCATGTAAAGGCTGCTTTGTTTCTGGCAACAGAAATCAAAATAGTCTTGGCCGTATGAGTTTGATTTGAGATACATGCTGACACCATGTTTAGAGATCATAGTAAACTATGTGACTAAAACTGGCAAGTACTGGTGAAGGAAGGCTACTGGCCTGGGGTCCAGAGTGGACCACAAGTTCACAAGCTAAGGCTGTTTTTAAAGCTAAAGGCTGGTGAGCTCTTTTCATCCACAATACGGGTTTGAACTGGAGAGTAATTTTCCCCGTTTGCCAGACATCGCTGAGCCTCGTTCCCAGCACCCTTGCTACGTGGGTTGCAGGCGGTAGAAGCTGGCGTTGGCCGAGTGGAAGGACATGGGCATGGGAAGTGTTTACACATGGAGTGCAGTAGGTTTCTGGATTCTTTTTATAACTTGTACTTGGTGGTTTATAAAAATAAGCCTGTTCCTTTTGCATGAGGCATAATGAGGCCTAAAGACAGTGTGTGAGATGAGTCGAGCAGCAATGGGGATATTAGGAAGGAGGAAAGGTGCTCTTTGCTCCCTAACCCTTCCCATGATGCCTGCTGCCTTCCCTCTCCCTGCCATGAGACCCCAGCCACACAATTGCCTCTATTAAAGCTGCCATAGCCTTTTCCCTGCACGTGTTTCGCCACCGCTGTGCCCAAATGGTGGACTCAGCTCAACTCACTTCTCCATACTTATGGCCTCCGTCTCAGCATCTCAGCTCCACACGCCAGGGAGGGAGTCCGTGTGGCCAAGTGGCCAGGCTACCAGATGCAGAGCTGCCCCTCTCCTGAGGGAGTGGGGTTGGGCCTGGCAGGGACAGGAGCGGGGCCGGGCACACGGCTTGGGCGCCAGAAGCCAATTTAGGTTTGCCTCTGCTCCCTGGTTGGCTGACCTCGTGGGGGAAGACACCCACACAGGGACTGTGGGGTGGCAGTGGGCGTTGGCTATGATCTGTCAAGCCCCTTTGCTATGGGGTTGAACCCATCTTTGTTCCTTTGACACGCACTTGGGTACACTGCCACACCAGGCTTGTGGACAGATGGCATTCCTGGGCCTGAGAGGAGGAAGGGGGCATTTCTTGGAGGCCTGTGGGCTGGGAGTGGACAGGGCTGAGGCCTGACCACGTGGGTGGCCCAGAGGCTCTGGAGGCCTGCCTTGTGCATGCCCCTCTCTCTGTGTCACATGTTGTAGATGATGGTACATACACACACATGACCTGTGCCAATTGGTCCCTTTCCAACTGGAACAGGACAAAAACCGCCCCGGGCCTTTGTCCCCTGAAAGGTTTGAATTCTCTGTGTCAGGGAGCGAGCTCACGGGCACAGCAGAAGCGGCAACCTGACCACTCTGAGGGATGGGCAGTGGCCTCCAGGCCCAGCCCAGACCCCTGCCTGTTCCCCCTGCCCTGGCTTCCTTCTGCTGAGCAGGGACAGACACAGGTACCTACCCACAGAGGCAGGTTGAGGACTGGCCTGGGCCTGGGTCCATGCTCTCAGCAGAGCAAGTGATGGGAGACACAGGGCCCTGGGACGAGGGACGCTTTCTCTGAGCGAGGTGGTGCCCTTGAGCACAGGCCCCTGGGTGGATGGAGAGGTGCAGGGAGTCCCTTTAGAGGTAACAGCTTCAATCCTTCCACTTCAGCTGTGTGGCCTCGGACGAGCCACCTGGCCTCTCTATTGGTGCTGCTCACACAAGGAATGGCGGTTCTGAGTGATGGGGGCTGGCGACTGTGAGCAGCTCACATGCCAAGGCCAGCAAAGCCCTCCAGTGACCTTTGCCTCTCCTCTTTGCAGCTGGAGGAGGCGGAGCGCTTTGCCATGATGGTGATCGACCGCGGGGAGGAAGCTGGGGAGTTCCTCTCCAAGGCCTACCTGGCGCTGGGTCTCACCTACAGCCTGCAGGCCACCGACGGTGAGTGCCAGGCCTCGGGGCCTCTTCGTGGGGTGACTCAGGCCTCCTAATGGCCTCTTGTTCCACCTCCCATTGTGTCCCCGTTGACTCTTTTGGGATACATGTGCATGCAATCCTAATTTCCACTCTTGTCCACTCAATCCCATTTCCACTCTTGTCCACTCCTCACACCTCTCAGAGATGCCTTCATCAAACAGTTTTTCCCACCCTTCAAGGCCCAGCCCCAGCTGCCTCTGGGACCCTTTGTAGTGGGTTGCCAGCCCTGAACCCACATTCTAGTTCACCTTTAACCTCAGCACTGCTGTAATCTTCTGGCGTCTTTTGAATCTCCCTCCATGCATGGTGTAGAGCTGGGTATACAGCAGGTGTTTAATAAATACTTGTACTTGGCAGAGGGGTTTCACTGCTGCTGCTCAGATCCTAGCATTCACTCTCCTGCTCTGGCAGCTCAGCTGTGTGTCCCCATGGATCGGGCAGCCACCACTTCTGTATCCTTGCAGCTTGAGAGAAAGGGAGCGATGGAACCCCCCCCACCCCACCCCACCCCACCCAGACTAATACTGGGATAGGAATCAGCCCCTGAAAGTACAATAGAGGTTATGGGGGGAGGGGAGGAGTTAGTGTTCAGTGGGTGTATACTTTCTGTTAGGAATAATTAAAAAGTTCTGGAGATGGACGGTGGTGGTGGTTACACACATTGTGAATGTACTTAATGCCACTGAACTGTACACTTAAAATACTATCCTAAAATGGCTAAAAAAAAAAAAAAAAGAAGCAGCAGCCTAGTGGATAAGGAAGCCCAAGGGCGCAGGTGGCCAGGATGGAAGTGGGAACCTCCTTTGAGAGGGTCAGGTTGGCACAGGTGACAAAGAAGGCAGTGGAGTGGAAGGGTCTGGTGTACCAAGACCCCATGCCTGTGGGCTGGGGTCAGGTGGACACCCCACACCCTCCCCCAGTAACCAGGGCAGTGGGTGGCATCCAGCATTTGCCAGACAGGGCCCGATGGGGTCTCTCCCTGCAGAGTGTGCGTGCCCTGGGGTGGGGCAGGGCTGGTCTCACCCTCAGCACCCCCTCATGGCTGACTCCATCCTGTCTCCCGCAGCGACTCTGAAATGCAGGCAGGATGAGCTGCACCGGAAAGCACTGCAGACGCTGGAGAGGTAAGGGGGCCCGAAGTGCACATGTGTGATCTCAGTGGACCCTCTGGTGTAGACAGAGCAAAGGTTTCCGTCCCCATTTTATTGACCAGGAAACCGAGGCTCTGATAGCTCACGCATGAAGCAGAGACAGGCCTTTGGGGTTGGGTGGGCAGTGGGACCTTTCAACATTGGTGGACTCCCCCCCTCTGCCCCCCACTCTGTCCCCAGGCTGAGCCTCAGCCCTCTTGAGCTCAGGGTTCTAAAATGGGAATAAAAACCCACTATTGTTGTGATGACTACCTGCGATAAAGCAGGAAAAGCATCTTGCACAGTGCCTTACCTGTAATAGGAGCTCAAAAATTCAATAGCTTGAGGACTCCCTATCCATAATCCTCCCAGAGATTTCCTGGCAGCCTCGGGGTCAGGAATGTGGGGGTGGGGAGGTGGGGAGGGGAGGCAGAGAAGACCCTCCCCCAGCAGCGGCCTTCCCACCCTCAGACCCATCCTTGCTGAGCTCCTGTCTCCACCACAACCTTGGCCCCTGACCTCCCCCCACTCCTTCCTCAGAACCCTGTGTGTCTGATCCCTGACCCCCTAGGGCTGATGTGGAAGCTTCTGGGTACGGACCTTGTGCCAGCTTCCTTGAAATATGTAGCACACCTAACTCCCTTCTGGGCAGGTTGTCCCCGAACCCAGGGAGATCGGAGAGGCCCATCCTGGACGCCAGGATGGGGGTCGTTTTCTTTCTTTCTCTGCGACTCCACATTCCTGAGGCTTCTTGCCCAGAGAGGCCATTCCCAGCGCCTCCACCTCGGGAAGGTTTCCTTCTGTCCTACGTGGAGAGGGCAGGTGCCGGGCTCTGTACAAGACCACCACAGGGCCCCAGCCCGGCCAACAGCTGCCGCTGCCCGTGGCTTTCTGCCCAAGCCATCACCTCCCGGCTGGACACCCTTCCGAGTGGACCCCTGGGGCGCACGTTTCATGCTGGAGGCCTGTGTCAGACACTGGTTGCTCAGCCCTTGGCGACTGACTGGGTGCTTCCTTTCCACACACAGAGCCCAGCAGCTGGCACCTGACGACTCCCAGGTCATCCTCTATGTCTCCCTGCAGCTGGCCCTCGTCCGACAGGTGGGTTCCTAACGCCCAGGTCTCTGGGGGCTGCTGATCTTTTCCTGGCACCACTGCTTTTACCAGCTGTGTGACCCTTTGCAAATGACTTGACCTCTCTGAGCCTCTGTTTCCTGGCCTGTGACAGGAGCACCTTCAAACTCCACCTCAGAGGGACCTGGGCGGGGTCCAGCACCACCCACAGTCTGCACAGAGGCCAGGTGGAGACCAGGCAGGGGCTGGATACCTCGGGACCCAAGGTCCCCCAGGGAGCATAAGGGGATCGGTGTCTGAGGTTGGATAAGAAGCCAGGCTTTCTAAAAAAAAAGACTTACAAGGCTCTTGGGAGAATGTGGACAAAGTTGCAGTGGTTGGCCTGAGTGTCTCATGCCCCTCAGGACTAGAAGGAGGAATCTTATCTGGTCCTTAGCTGTCTGGTTAGGAGTCTGGCTCAGAGGGCTGGAAAAAGGAAACACTTTTTCACACACATGGGTGGTCCTCTGCACAATGGTTATCCACGTCCCCTCGGCCACCGTCATGGCTCTGGCTGTTCTCACTTTGCAGCATAAGAACTACAGCTCAGAGAGGTGGAGGCCCTTGCCCTAAGGCACCCGCTGGAACAGGGCAGAGCTGGGATCCTGCCCCCATCTGACCCCATGCTCCTGCCACTGTGAGCCTCTGAGTAGGAGGGGCATTTATCTGTCGGCCCCTGTCACTGCATGGACCAGTCCAGAGAAGAGGGCGTGGCTACCACTAGATACAGATGGTGGCCTGGTGGTCCTTCATGACCCCTATTGCAGCTTACGAAATGCTTCCCAGCTGCTCCACACACCTGCTCCTCCCACTTCCAAGTGGGGACAGCACAGGCTTCCTGGGCCTGGCTTGGGGCCACAGATCCCTCTTGCCGTGTGATTGAGAGGGGCAGGGGAGGGGAGGTGTTTTCTCATCAGAGCACCAGCCCTGCACCTCCGTGCCCAGAGTCTCAATTGAGTCTCCTGTCCCCTCGATGGCTGGTGCCTGGCACCAAAGCCCTGGAGGGAGGCGTGGGCGCCGGGGAAGGTCACTGAGCTGGCGGCTCTCTCTGGCAGATCTCCAGCGCCATGGAGCAGCTGCAGGAGGCCCTGAAGTTGTGCAGGGACGATGCCAACGCGCTCCACCTGCTGGCTCTCCTCTTCTCCGCCCAGAAGCACTACCAGCTCGCGCTGGACGTCATCAACATGGCCATCACGGAGTACCCCGAGAACTTCAAGTGAGTCCCTGGGGGCACCGCTGGCTGGGGGGCAGGGGGCCACGGATGCCAGACGGTGAAGAGATGGGAACAGAGCTGTCTTGATGGGAAAACGGAAAGGGGATTCATGCCCCCCCACCCCCACCCCCACCCCGGGCCCTGGGCCCAGCACCTGGCATCCTACTGCACGCCATCTCTTCCTAACTTCTAGACCGAATGCTTCCTGCTGGCAGAACCACCTCCCCTGGACTAATGTGGGGAGGCTACCGCCACTTTTGAAAACCTGCTTGTAGCCCATGTTGTTGAGGCACAGCAGAAATGGGGTGTGTCCAGGAAGTGGCGGGGGAGGGGGATGGGGGGGGGCTGGCTCTCCCTCAGCTCCTCCCAGCCAACCCAGGGGATGGCCTCCGGCCTCCTGCCAGTTCTCCCCATCCTCCCCGGCTCTTGGACTGGATGAGGAAGCCAGCTTCTCCCCAGTCCTCCCTCCCTTACTGGCAGTGGGTGCACTGTCCACCCACCCCTTTCCTCCAACCTCAGGCGTCCAGTTCTTCCCAGGATGCTTCACTCACCGAGTGTCTTCCTGAGTAGGTGGGGGAGGTGGTCCTTGCTGTGAAGTTGGCGGCTCCCCTGGGAGGCCCGTGGGTGGACTTCTGGGCCTCCATGAGCACCTGGGCCTGAACTCTAAGGTTTGCACTTGCATGCATCCAGGGACATGGCTTTCCTCAGACCCTCAGAGGGACCCTAAACCCCAAAACGGCGTGAGGTCTCGATGCAGACTGTGCTATAGTCAATCTGTAGGTTAACTGAGCCCCTCTTTGTCAGCTGTGTCCCCGCTTCTGCAGGCAGGAGCCTTCTGAAGGGGCAGCCTCCCAGCAGAACTCCCCCACCCAGACACCACAGGGCCACTTCTGGGGCCTCAGGGGCTGGGGTCGTGGGGCCAGCAGCAGGGAGACCACTTTGAGGTCTGAGCCAAGAAGGACAGTGAGTCCCAGCCCCAGAGGCCTCCTCAGGTCTTCTGTTCCTTTATCACGGCAGAGAAGCCCGCTGGGGAGCTTTTGGGGGCCAGAGCATCCCATCCTCTGTGATGTCTGCACACTGGGGTCATGGGGTGGAGAAGCAGTGACAGGTTCTTGTCTCTGAGCCACCCTGAGCCCCTCACCTCCAGGACCATGAGGAGCCCCGGCTTGATCTGAGCCAGCCCTAAAAGGCTGGAAGAGCAACTGGAAGTAATATGGGAGCTCTGACCTCCAGCACTGTGAGGGGGCAATCCCTGTTTCTTAGGCAGGAAAAGTAAGTCCATCTTTAAAAAAAGGTGGGGTGGAACGCCCACCTCCCACACAGCCCTGGAGCAACCGTGGCGCCGCAGACAAGTCAATACCATTCCCCACAGAGGAAGCCCGGAGCGCAGAAACCCACGGGTTAGCAGGAAATGTCACTGAGTCCATTACCGGTCAGGGATCACTGAAAAATGTCACTGCTCTTCAACGGAAACTCTGTCCTGCTTCTCCAGCTGCTCCCTGCGGTGGGAACAAGCTGCGTGGCTCTGGCTGTTGCCATGGCAGTTAATTAAATTACCGATCCAATAAATACCACTGCAGCAAAAAATAAATAAATAAATAAATAAAAATAAAACCCCCTTCACCCTGACGTCAGCCGAACAAGGTCTGTGTACTCGGGGGTGGGGAGTAGGGGGAGAGGTGTCTGTCTGCCACCGAGCTCCTCCCCGCCAGCTGTCCCAGGTGGCCAAGGCCTTTGGAGGCTGCAGAGCCTGCCTTCCTGAAGAAAGGTGGGCTAGGCCAGTGTTGGGGGTGGAGGAAGCCTGGCACAGGGGAGGGTGTCGCTGGGTACAGTGGACCCCTTTCCACATGGGCTGTCCCCGTGTGAGGCATGCCTGCCTCTTCACCTGTGCCCCTCCAGCAGCGTGTCCCTGCTTCCCACGCCTTCGCTCCCTGTCTGCCAGAGACTGGCATCTGTCCTGCCTCCTCTGCCCCCGAGGTCTGTCGTGAGACTCGGCAAGAAAAGGCCTTGAGGTCGGCGTACAACCCTGTGGAGGGACAGCAGTGCGGAGGGGTCTGGGAGTCGGCCACCACAGTGAAAGAGCAGGTGGGCAGTGCCCTGGTGGAGGGAGCCCTGTGTGTGAGGGAGGGCGGGCAGGGCCACCGAGGCAGGGACACTCGGTGAAAGGCATTTCAGTGGCACAAGTGGCCACTCTTCCCACGGGCAGTCCCAAGACTCCTGGAGGAAAACCCAGCTTTCGTGGAGTTGAACGTTTGAAAATCCTCCAGGATTCAGGGATTGGAAAGCAACGCAAAGAAGACGGTTAATTTCCGTGCTGCGGGATGACCTTTACTTAATGGGGCTTGGGTTTAAAAAGGCAGGACCGTGACGAGGCAGAGACTGATGGCTGCAGGGACAGTGTGAACCTGGCACGGTGGGAACCAGACACTCAGCAGCTTCCTGAAATCCCGAGGGCTTCCGACTAAGCCCTGGACACATGTGCTGGCCAGGCTGGTGCTGGTTAGACTGCAGGGGGCCTCATGGGGGCAGCAGCCACCCTGTTTGGACCTGGTTCCAAGCCAGGCCGGGCTGGGGAATGGGAAAGGGCCGTGTCAGCTAGTCTTTTCTCCTGGTCCTGGTGGTGGGAGGCAGCTGGGAGGCCCTGAGGGGAGGGACAGGGATATGAGGTCAAAGGGAACTGGGCCCTGATAAGTGTGGTTCCTGAAGCCCAGGGCTCCTTGGGGCTCTGGTTTTAGGTAACAAGATTCCTTGTGCTTTAGTCAGGCTGCTTGTAGTGAAAGTCGCCATGGTAACCAAACAACATTCCTGGGCTAATGATGGGAGCTTTCCAATAACCAGCCTGTCACTCACTGCCCCCACCCCAGGCCTGGCAGCCTGCCAGACGGGTTTTGAAAGCCCAGGCCATAGGGCTGGATGCAGAGGAGCCAACTGGCTTGCCCTGCCCAACTCCTCAATGCCAAGGCCGCCTCCTCCCACCCTGTGGATCAGGGCAGGCCCTCGCGGGAGTTTCTGCCCAGCCACCTCAGGCTCAGGGGGACTTGAAAGGTCCTGGGGGAAGGTGTGTCACTCCCCCGGCACAGGAACAATGTGGCCCTCTGCTCGTGCATGTAAACAAATGGAACCATCAAAGCCATCTCCCCAGAGAAACCTAAGCTGTTTTGGAAAATGTTTGAGCTGATAACTAGGCGTTGGCTGAGGCCAGACCTCAGCCTTCTCCGGTGAAAGCGCACATCGGCCCCAAGGGCACCTCTCTGATCTACCTGGCCTGCCTCACCTTTTTCTCGTGTGACACGTGCCGTGTTTGTAGGGGTGCATGTCAGGGTCCAGATCAGGGTCCTGTTAACATTTCTGACTTAAAACCCAGTGTGTTTATTGGATGGATCCCATGAGGGACCTGCAGAAGATCAAAGGGACACTTGAAATACCAGCCTGCCCCGTGAGAAGGCTGGAATCGGAGGTATGAGCACAAACCTACTTTATCGCGTTGCTGCACTCAGTAAACATGTTTGGCTGCTGCAGCCCCGCTGAGGACAAGAGCCAGGGCGTACACCTGCGGGCCGTGTGGTCGAAGGGTGTTAAGCCAGGCATAATCACTGGCACTGGGCTCTGTCCCCAAAGGTCAGCTCCTCATCGCTCAGCTGGCTTGACATTCAGCATCTCCCTCCGCTGGCTGTTCCCTGCAGCCGCCTGTGATCTCGCTCTGTGTGACCCAGCAGTCACACCGTCCTTGGTCTCTCCCCGGAGGGGGCTGCTTACGCCCAGAGTAGGAGGGCGGAGAAACTTTTGTTTTTTGTTTGCGGAGGGGAGGAACGAAAAGAAAGAGGTATTTGCAGATTTTTCCAAAAGGAATTCTTTTGTTCTAAATCGGCTTTTAGCCCTTGCTTCCTGACTCCTCCATCTGAATCCGGGCTGAGGCAGGCACCGGGGCCCATGACACCCCATTCTCTAGCAGCAGGGGCCCAGCCCCGAGAGGGGAGGGCAAGGGGCATTCATGCCCATAGTAGAGTGGAGCTGCCTTCCCCCATTCCGGGGTTGGTCTTCAGGTCCCAAGGGTCTGCTCGCTGCACAGAAATCCTTACCAGGACCAAGGTGTTTGCTTCTCGGTGCCTTGTACCTGGCTGGGAGCCTCGTTTCGTTCCCCCTGAGGACCGTCCTCCACCCCCAACGGCTGTAGATTGGCTCTGGGTGATGTGTTCATATCCTTCATGGTCGTGAATTCGTGTCTAGAGAGTCATGGGGAGGTGACTGCAGTGGCCTGCAGCTGGGAGCAGTGGGCCTGTGGGCATCAGTCAGCGGGTGAGGCGGTCTTGCCGTCCAGCCAGCCACGTCCTCCAGATGAGTGGGTCTGGGAAGTCAGGGGAGGCTAACTCCAGAAAGCAGAGCTGACAGACTGCTGGTTTGTAACGCTTCAGTTACATCAGTGGTCGGCAAATCACGGGTCACGAGCCACATGCGGCTCTTTGGCCCCTCGAGTGTGGCTCTTCCACAAAATACCACGCGCAGGCGTGCACATACAGTGCGACTGAAACTTCGTGGCTCATGCGCAGAAGTCTGTTTCTGGTCTATTTTGAAGAAGTTGTTAGAACACTCAAGGGGTCAAAGAGCCCAGGTTTGCTGACCACTGAGTTAGATCACAGGGAATGAATTTATTAGGTGAGAGATCAGCATGGGCCTTAAAACACCAGGGGACGTGGGACAGTGTCGCCTTTGGTTTTCAGGGCTAAGAAGAGCCGCCATTGGGGTTAGTCCATGGAAAGGTAACAAAGCCTGGCTGTGGCCTTCTCCCTCTCCTGTGGGAGGTTTAAAATGTTACCCTCAGAGAGCACCGTGTGAGATTGTAATCAGTTTAATTGCCCTGGTGGAGTCTGTCCTGGAGCCATGACAGAGGCGCCTGGGATCCCTGGTATTTCTGGGGGGCCCTGTGACTGCCCGGTGATTACAGCCTGATGGGCCAGGGGCAAGGGGCCGATTGGCGCATACCCAGAGGAGCTGCTTCCCTCTTC